TTTTTATATTTTTTGTGTTTTTTTTTTTTTTTTTTTTTTTTTTGGTTTTTTTATTTTTTTTTTTTTACGGGTTTGTTTTTTTTTTTTTTTTTATTTTTTTTTTTTTTTTTTTTTTTTTTTTTTTTTGTTTTTTTTTTTTTCATATTTTTTTTTTTTTTTTTTGTTTTTTTGGGCTTTTTTTTTTTTTTTTGGGGTTTTTTTGGGGGGAGGTGGAATTTTGTTTTTTTGTCTGGATTCGTTTTTTTTTATTTTTATTTTTTTTTTTGTTTTTTGGTTTTGTTCTTTTTTTTTTTTTTCTTTTTTTTGTTTGGTTCTTTTTTTTGGTTAAGTTTTGTTTTTTTTTTTTTTTTTTTTGTTTTTTTGACTTTTTTTTTTTTTGACGTTTTTGTTGCTTTTGTTTTACTGTTTTTTTTTTTTTGTGTGTGTTGTACTGACAGTATTGATTTCTCTTCCCCAGCAGACTCCAAAGGGTTAAAATAAATGGTACAGATTGGTTCTGCACTAATTATTATTTAAGTCTCTCTGAGCCTAGTTTTTTTTAAAGTTGAAATTGCCACAGCGAATATATTCGAGACTCGAATCGAATAGTTTCCACGAATTCGCCGAATCAGTCGAATCGAATTTTTGAATACTCTCTCATCTGTGTAGTATAAAGAGCACCTGTTCCACAGGAGTAGTTTTTCAAACAATCAGCGGATTCCAAAAACTCTCCACCATTTTGGCAAAGACCAAAGAGCTGTCCAAGGATGTCAGGGACAAGATTGTAGACCTATCACAAAGTCTGGACTGGGCTACCAAACTATCGCCAAGCAGTTGGTTGAGAAGGTTTGACAGACAGTTGGTGCAATCATTTGCAAATGGAAGAAAAAACACAAAACAACTGTCAGTCTCCCTAGGTCAGGTGCACCATGCAAGATCTCACCTCGCGGAGTGTCAGTGATCATGAGAACAGTGAGGAATCATCCCAGAAACTACACGTGAGGATCTTGTCAATGACCTCCAGGCAGCTGGGACCACAGTCACCAAGAAAACAATTGGTAACACACTACGCCGACAAGGATTGAAATCCTGCAGTGCCCGCAAGGTCTCTGCTAAAGAAAGCACATGTCCAGGCCTGTCTGAAGTTTGCCATGAACATCTGAATGATGCAGAGGAGGACTGGTTGAAAGTGTTGTGGTCAGATGAGACCAAAATCGAGCTCTTTGGCATCAACTCAACTCGCTGTGTTTGGAGGAGGAGGAGGAATGCTGCCTATGACCCCAAGAACACCATCCCAACTGTCAAAAAACATACTGGTGGAAAACATTTCTGCTTTGGGGGTGTTTTTCTGCTAAGGGGACAGGACAACTGCACCGCATCATGAAGGGACGATTGGATGGGACAAGGTACCATCAAAATCTTAGGTGAGAACCTTCTTCCCTCAGCCAGGGCATTGAAAATGAGTCGTGGATGGGTGTTTCCAGCATGGCAATGCCCCAAGCACTTGGCCAAGAGGCAACAAAGGAGTGGCTCAAAAAGAAGCACATTAGGGTTCTCAAGTGGTCTAGCCAGTCTCCAGACCTTTGTGAGTGGGCAAGCATTCAAAATCAGCGGGGATCAAATACCTATTTCCTTCACTGTATATTGGTTACCATTCATGACATGCCTTGAATGTAATTGTTTTGTGAATTGATGGGTTTTAGTTGCACTTTAATGTAAGTTGAAAAATAACAGGCTCTACAGGTAAAAAAAAGCAAAAAATACTAAAATAGATTAATGCAGCCACCGCATCTAAGGATTGGTAAGCTGCAATATAATACTTTTTTTTGTTTTTGGGGTTTTATACTACTTTATGATCTAGCTCCTGGTACTGCTGTACTATGAAACTGGGGTTTGCTGGTAGTAGGGAGGGTTATCTTGGGCTGGCCTATGGCTATTTTGTTTGCCTGTGTCTAATCATCCTGTAGTTGACAGGATAACTCAAAGGTAAAGTAGAAATGATATTTCAGTGAGTATAATCCTATTTTTCAACCAAAACATTTTATTTTAGTTTTGGATGGTATGAAAAAAATGGTCAAATATGGTTCTTAGGGGTCCTGATTCATCTCTGCTAAATGTTTTTTTTTTATTAATGTCGTCATCCTCAGAAAGATTTCTAGTCTATACCTGTCCTGTTTACTACTCTCTAGAACAGGAAGGGACATTTTTCCATTGGGATACAGACTGCAGTAACATCAGTTCTAAACCTTTTTCTAGTCTACCTAAAAGCGGGGAAAAAAGCCTTAATACTGAACATATACCTAATTTAAAACTACTATTACGTTAAAATTAATGTGAAAAGAATTTAGTTAGTATGTCTTTTGAGAGCATTAGTGCAGCCTATTTACAGTATGGCTGTTGCCGTATTGCTGTTTGGGGTTATATTGAGTGCAACCACATTGCTCGAGATAGAAGAATAAAGGTGTTAGTTTATGATCATTTTTGATTGACATCACAATGCTAATTTCTAATTTCTCTACAGACTGTTGACGTAAGGAAGCTAGAAAAGGCTGAAGCTAAACTGAAGTCTAAGCAAGAAAAGCGTTTTTTGAACGTGACTCGCAGAAAGGTGGTGGGAATGTGTAAGTGTAAAAAAAGATTTTTATGAGCAGAAGGCAAGAAAGACCTTGCTGTATGTTTAAAGTGATCCTGTGGGCTTCCCCTAACTACTAAGATGGTCCTAAGTCCATTGAACATTTCTGTTTATCTACTGAGAGCCCAGGTACCCCCAGAACCTAAGTGCTCTGTTATGCAAAGATCGAGCACAGATTCATTTATTATTCCAAGCTGGTAGTTGGACTTAAAAGAAAAATTTGGAGCATGCACCTGGAGATGGAGAAGGTACAGTAAGCTCACATGTTTCTATTGCTGAAATGTCCTTCTGAAAATGCTAGCTGCCTGGCTGATCAAGATTCTTTAGTAATTTTAATGAGTTGTTGACACAAACACAGAGGTCTGTGTGTGTTCAACTTCAGACTGACATCATTTGCTGCTTACTTATTCCTGGTCATTCATTCAAAGTATTAAAATCGTTGGCAGCAAGGTAACAAGCACCTTCAGAAGGAGAACTGTAATGCCAGCCTTCATATTCCTCTCAATATACAACATCAATTCCAGAAAAGTTTGGAACGCTGTGAAAATTCTACATAAAAACTGAATGCAATGAGTTGCAAATCTCAAACTCCTATTTTATTCACAATAGAAAATACAAAACATCTCAAATGTTTAAAATGAGAAAATGTACCATTTTTCAAAAAAAAAAAAGGTAATTTTGAAATTGAGGGCAGCTACCCGTAAAAGAAAAGTTGGGACAGGGCAGAAAAAACTATACAGGTTAGCAGTACTAACAAGGAAGAACTGGAGGAACATTTTGTGACTAAATCAGATTAATTGGCTACAGGTCAGTAAAATGATTGGGTATAAAAATTGCATCTTGGAGTGTCAGTGTCTCACAAGTAAAGATGGGCAGAGGTTCACCAGTTTGTGAAAAGCTGTGTCTAAGAACTGTTTAACAATTTTAGAATAATGTTCCTCAACGACAAAGACTTTAAATATATCATCATCTACAGTACATACTATCATCAGAAGATTCCAAGAATCGGGAAAAATCTCTGTGTGCAAGGGACAAGATTGAAACGCAATATTGGATACCTGTTCAGCCCTCAGTTGGCACTGCGTTAAAAACAAGCATGATGATAATTCACTTGCTTTAAGGATACCAGTACAGTGCTATGTGACTGGAGCCTCCAAGACCTTGTGACCCTGGAGTCTTTGTGGAAAGAAGTCTGCCAAAAAAGAAGAAAAGTCTACTCCATCTGTAAATAGTAACCAGGCATCACCTGAGGAGAATAGACAGCTTGAGAGTTCATCTGAAAGCTCTAAATAAAGGTTCCTCCACTGTGCGGATACATTGTGGAACGGCTTCCAGTCCATCACAGGAAATCCACAACTTGCACTGATACACCAGAGGGAGTGTCTTTGTGAACTAAGGCACATGCACTAATGCACTTGGCAATTACTCATGATCCAAAGTCAGATTCTGTTATTTATGTACCGAATTGATATCGGTCAATGGAAAATCTTTTATTTGCAAGAATAAACAAGCATGATTCTGAAATAACAAGCATGAAATGTAAGGTAAAGCTCTATTATGCAAAGCAGCCATATCTGAACATGATCCAGAAACGTTGCCTTCTTTGGGCCAAAGCTCTTTTTTAAAATGATCTGTTGCTAAGTGGAAAATTGTTTTGTGAACAGACTAATCGAAATGTGACTTTTTTTTTTTTTTTTTTTGCATCCATGGGTGTCATGCCCTTCGGATTAAAGCAGAGAGGGACCCTGCGGCTTATTAGTACTCAGTTCAAAAGCCTGCATCTCTGATACTATGGGGCACATTTGTGTGTGTATGGAATGGGCAGCTTGCACATCTGGAAAGGCAGCAGCCTTTATGGCTAGAACAGCCTGGGTGCTTAACTGGCCTGCCTGCAGTCCAGACCTTTCACAAATTGAAAGTATTTGGCACTTCTTGAAATGAAGAATATGATAAAGAAGGCCAGGATTGTTAAGCAGTTAGAATCCTATATTGGGCAGGAATGGGACAACATTCCTCTCCCAAAACTCAAGCAACTGGTCTCCTTAGTTCCCAGACCTTTACAGAAATGTTGTTAAAAGAAGAGCAGATGCTACACCGTAGTAAACATGGCCCTGTCCCAACATTTTATAAGACATGTTACTGCTATCAATTTTAAAATAACTTTTTTTTTTCAATTTAACATAGTATATATTTTTCTCAGTTTAAAGTGTTACTAAACTCCCACAGTACACAGAACATAGAAATGCAGTTATTTTAGTAAATATAAACTGCTAAATACCTATTCTCATCAGCAGTCAGTCTTACGACTTCTGTCAATGTCCAGCAGAGCACTGGTTAAAGCTTGTAGAAGGAGTTTATATTCTCCCCTCACTGTCCTATAAGACTGCAGGACCCTTGACCCTCTGTCTGGGCAGTGCTGATTGACCCTGTGCTGATCACATGCGCTCTCCCAAGAAAAAAAATAACTCCCTAGCAATACACACCAAACTGAGCATGTTCAGCTTGCCCCCAAGGGTCTGTTCTATGAGGAGAGGAGTCGGGGACAGTGGAAGAAGGGGAGGATCAGAGAATACAGGATTAAACCTTTCTACACAATGCCGAGGTTTAACCCCTTAGGTTCAACAGTGAGTAAAACAAGCATGTTTTACTGCATATACAGACTGATTTTACTGTTCTGGAATTAGTAACATTTATCCAATTTAAAACCAGGCCTATTCTGACACTTCCTACATTTATGTAAAAATCTGCATTTTTGTGCTAGAAACTTTGCTTAGAACCCCCAAATATTATATATATTTTTAAGCACATGCCCTAAAGTATAAAATGGTGTGTTGCAATTTTTTTATGTCATGCAGTATTTGTGCAACAATTTTTTCAAATGCAAATTTTTGGGGGGAAATAATACACTAATGAATTTAAGTGCACACAAACACAATATAATACCCATTTTTTGGTAAACTATAAAAGATGTTACGCTAAGTAAAAAAGATACCTCGTTTTAAAATTGCGCACTTATGTGGAATGGCGACAAACTACGTACATAAAATTATCCATAGGCAACGCTTTAAAAGCCTTTACAGCTTACCACTTTAGATTTACAGAAGAGGTCTGGTGCTAAAATTGTTGCTCCCAATCTGATGTTCGCAATGAATACCTTTTTTATATGTGTGGTGCGATCGCTCTTTACCTATGCACATGGGTTCGATGCATGCAAGCACAGGGAAATGGGGGGGGTTTAAATTTTTTTACATTTTTTTTTACATTTTTACTTATTTTTAAATTTTTTCACTCTCTATTTTTTTGTTTATCAACTTTATTGCTATCACAAGGAATGAACAACATCCCTTGTGATAGCATGGGCAATGACAGGTACTCTTTAATGAGAGATCTGGGATTACTTTCATATGTGTCATTGCCTTTTTTTTTTCTGCAAACCTATATTTAATTTTCACTTATATCCTACAGAGTGATGGAAGAGGCATCAGCCAGTCAAGCTGCCAGTAAAAAGGAGAATCGAATAGAATCCAGTGGCAAGAATAAATCATATGACATTCGAATTGAGAATTTCGATGTGTCCTTTGGAGAAAGGTAGGTTTTTAGGGGAAAAAAGGGGGGGTAAAACATGAAAATTACTAAAACGTGAATTTACAGGTTTTTTTTTTGGCACTGATAATCTAGTTCTCTTTCTCAGTAAGTGTATATTATATGAAGACCCCCATATAGCTCATTACACCTTATTTACTTTTGCAGTTTACCTGCTTCCTGAATTGAACATTAAGTAAAATAGAATCTCATCATAATGAATATGTAGTTAAGTCGAATTAAGTATCCCTGAAGGCAGTATTTTGTGCAAGAGCATTGACTGTTTCAAGAAACAGTCAGTGCCCTAACAATATAAAAGAAGATCCCTTCTAGACCATGGGATTGATTTACTAAAACTGTAGAAGGCAAAATCTGGTGCAGCTTTGCATAGAAACCACTCAGCTTCTAGGTTTTATTGTCAAATCTTAATTGAAAAAGCTGGTTAGAAGCTGATTGGTTACCATGCAGAGGTGAACCAGATGTAAACAATAGAGTTTAACCACTTGCCTTCCTAAAGATTTACCCCCCTTTCTGACCTGGCCATTTTTTGTGTTATGGCACTGCTTTACTTTAACTGACGATTGTGTGGTCATGCAACCATGCACCCAAATGAAATGTACATCCTTTCCCACGAATTGGGCTTTCTTTCAGTGGTATTTGATCGCCTGTGCGTTTTTTTTATTTTTTGCACTGCAAATAAAAAAAAAAAAAGACTGTCAATTTTGAGGAAAAAACAACATGTTTGACTTTTTACTAATAAACATTTTCAAAAAAGAAATTTAAAAAATCAAATTTCGTCATAAATTTACACCAAAATGTATTCTGCGACATGTCTTTGCTAAAAAAAAAAAAACCCAATACGTTTAAATTAATTGGTTTACGTGAAAGTTATAGCATTTACAAATGGCGGTATATATACTGGGATTTTTAAAATTTTTTACTAGTAATGGCGCGCGATCAGCGACTTATAGCAGGACTACGGCGGACATTCTGACACTGGGGAGAATTGACTTGGTGTCACTGACACCCCCAGTGACACCAATACAGTGATCAGTGCAAAAGAAAAAAAGCACTGACACTGTACTAATGGCACTGGGCAGGAAGGGGTTAAAATGAGGGGCGATCAAAGGGTTAACTGTGTGCTGGGAGTGTTTTACTAGGGGGCGGGTGTGTTTTTTCAATGTAATCGGACTGCTCTGGATTGCTGTGCAGCTCGCGCGCGCCCCCTACCTGGAAATGCATATATATAGTGATTTTGCTCACCCCTGCTGTCATGTAGCAGTATTTCTGCTATAGGGCGATGGGGATGAGGCTAAAGACTGTTATTTGTATATGTTTAACTCCTTTTAAGAGGTTTCTGATGACAGGAGGTGGGGTTTCTGATCATGTGACCGCCATGATTGGCTGTTACAGTAGTCACATGATTGGAAAGCTCGCGATCACAAGTAAATATTGGGAGCTTTCTGTTAGCCACTGGTAAATTTGTCGGGAGCGCACCAGGTGCACGCTCTTGGTACAGCTCTGTTTACATTCTGGTACGCATATATGTGGCCTCTCAACGTTAAGGCCCACCCATCGAGAGGCCACATATATACATACCACCGGCATCAAGAGGTTAATCTGATTTTATTTAAGTTTTCAAGTATAAGTGCAAAGTACAGAAAAGTATCCTATACTTTGAATAAGGCATATACAGTCAGGTCCATAAATATTGGGACATGGACACAATTCTAACATTTTTGGCTCTATACACCACCACAATGGATTTGAAATGAAACGAACAAGACGTGCTTTAACTGCAGACTGTCGGCTTTAACTTGAGGGTATTTACATCCAAATCAGGTGAACGGTGTAGGAATTACAACCGTTTGCATATGTGCCTCCCATTTGTTAAGGGACCAAAAGTAATGGGACAGAATAATAATCATAAATCAAACTTTCACTTTTTAATACTTGGTTGCAAATCCTTTGCAGTCAATTACAGTCTGAAGTCTGGAACGCATAGACATCACCAGACGCTGGGTTTCATCCCTGGTGATGCTCTGCCAGGCCTCTACTGCAACTGTCTTCAGTTCCTGCTTGTTCTTGGGGCATTTTCCCTTCAGTTTTGTCTTCAGCAAGTGAAATGCATGCTCAATTGGATTCAGGTCAGGTGATTGACTTGGCCATTGCATAACATTCCACTTCTTTCCCTTAAAAAACTCTTTGGTTGCTTTTGCAGTATGCTTTGGGTCATTGTCCATCTGCACTGTGAAGCGGCGTCCAATGAGTTCTGAAGCATTCGGCTGAATATGAGCAGATAATATTGCCGGAAACACTTCAGAATTCATCCTGCTGCTTTTGTCAGCAGTCACATCATCAATAAATACAAGAGAACCAGTTCTATTGGCAGCCATACATGCCCACGCCATGACACTACCACCACCATGCTTCACTGATGAGGTGGTATGCTTAGGATCATGAGCAGTTCCTTTCCTTCTCCATACTCTTCTCTTCCCATCACTCTGGTACAAGTTGATCTTGGTCTCATCTATCCATAGGATGTTGTTCCAAAACTGTGAAGGCTTTTTTAGATGTCGTTTGGCAAACTCTAATCTGGCCTTCCTGTTTTTGAGGCTCACCAATGGTTTACATCTTGTGGTGAACCCTCTGTATTCACTCTGGTGAAGTCTTCTCTTGATTGCTGACTTTGACACACATACACCTACCTCCTGGAGAGTGTTCTTGATCTGGCCAACTGTTGTGAAGGGTGTTTTCTTCACCAGGGAAAGAATTCTTTGGTCATCCACCACAGTTGTTTTCCGTGGTCTTCCGGGTCTTTTGGTGTTACTGAGCTCACCGGTGCGTTCCTTCTTTTTAAGAATGTTACAAACAGTTGTTTTGGCCACGCCTAATGTTTTTGCTAACTCTCTGATGGGTTTGTTTTGTTTTTTCAGCCTAATGATGGCTTGCTTCACTGATAGTGACAGCTCTTCGGATCTCATCTTGAGAGTTGACAGCAACGGATTCCAAATGCAAATAGCACACTTGAAATGAACTCTGGACCTTTTATCTGCCCATTGTAATTGGGATAATGAGGGAATAACACACACCTGGCCATGGAACAGCTGAGAAGCCAATTGTCCTATTAAATTTGGTCCCTTAACAAGTGGGAGGCACATATGCAAACTGTTGTAATTCCTACACCGTTCACCTGATTTTGGATGTAAATACCCTCAAATTAAAGCTGACAGTCTGCAGTTAAAGCATATGTTGTTCGTTTCATTTTAAATCTATTGTGGTGGTGTATAGATCCAAAAATGTTAGAATTGTGTCGATGTCCCAATATTTATGGACCTGACTGTATAAGGAGAAGAAAAACATTGTGGGATGAAGTAGATTATAGTACCATATAACTTGAATATCTGGCTTAAATGACAATAACCCATAGCAGTTTGTTCCAAATGAAAAACTGAAAACGGCATATCCATTTAACAGCTGAGATCTCGGAACAGTAGGAATATAGGATTCAAATATCTTAGTATATCTAGACTGTGTATGCAAAATAAGACATCTATTGAGCATCCATAATACAATGCTATAAGTCCGGTTGTATTGGAGTCAACATCTCAGCATATAGCATTCTGGTTTGAAGAGGTAAAGTTTAGATAGATTGCAGGAGAGACACAAATCGGTCTTGATATGTTTCAAAGGAAACGTCAGGAAAAAGATAGAAAAAGGAGAAAAGAGGGAGAGATTAAAAAAACAAACCAAACCCCAGGTATGTGGTTCACCTGAGCACCTCCAATGGTTCTAAATGACCCTAGAATTGAAGGCCAGCATAACGCCTCTACACTCCTTTTCAACTGTATGAGAAGTTTGATTAGTACCTTAAGTATTCCCATACAGTCCAAATGATCTTGGAAGAATCATGTTTGCCAGTGTCTCAAGAGATCAGTCTTTCCATGTGACAGTCCATTTTGCAAGCCCAGCCTATCATAGATGGGATATATGGTTTGCACCAATATCTGGCGATTATAGTGTATGCAGGGTTTTATTATTATTATTATTATTATTATTATTATACAGTATTTATAAAGTGCCAATAGTTCGCTCAGCGCTGTACATTACAAAGGGAGACAGAACATGTGACAGAACAATACCAATACAATGCAAAACATGAGGGGATCAAGGGCCCTGCTCTTTCGAGCTTACAATCTAGGAGGGAGGGGGTGGTGGCACAGGAGGAGATAGCTGTGGGGGATGGAGTGGTAGGAAGAGTGGAGGAGGTCGGCAAGTTAGCAGGGGGTGGGGTAGGCTTCCCTGAAGAGATGGGTTTTCAGGGTGCGCCTAAAGGAGAGGAGAGTAGGTGATGAATCTGATGGGTTGGGGCAGGGAGTTCCAGAGGATGGGTGACACCCTGGAGAAGTCCTGGAGGCGGGCATGGGAGGAGGAGACCAGGGAACTAGAGAGAAGGAGGTCTTGTGAGGAGCGGAGTGTGCGTGCTGGGCGGTACTTGGATATTAGGTCGGTGATGTAGTTCGGGGCAGTATGGTGGACAGCTTTGTACGTCAGCGTTAGGATTTTGAATTTGATCCGTTGCACAATCGGAAGCCAGTGGAGGGATTGGCAGAGGGGGGTGGCGGAGACAGAGCGGTTGGAAAGGTGAATGAGTCTGGCAGCCGTGTTCAGGATGGACTGAAGAGGGGATAGCCAGCGGCGAGGCAGGCCAGTGAGGAGGGAGTTGCAGTAGTCGAGTCGTGATATGATGAGGGAGTGGATGAGCTGTTTAGTGGTTTCTGGGGTTAGGATTAGGGTTTAAAGGAGAAGTACAGCCAAAGCTCTTTTGGCTATACTTCTCCTGTGAATCGCAGGAGTGCAGTTCATTGTGCACTCCTGTGACCCGGTTTCAGCTGACAACGGACTGAAGTCTGCTATTGGCTGACGTCACTCAGCCAGTCCAAGTGCTGGAGAAAGATCCCGACTTTAAAGTCAGAATCCAACTCAGAGTCTTGAGCAGCACCTGGCTCAGCCTCTCAGTTAAGCCCTGAGAGCCTGAGCCATCCGCTCTCTCCCCCTGCACAGCCCAGCGCTCCAGTGAGGGCTGGGGGGTAGAGCAGACAGTAGTGACTGACAGTCACTGCTCTCTGCTCAGAGCGGCTGTGAGAACTCAGTGATCAGCAGTCATGTGATCACTGAGCTCTCACACTTGGAGCCGGTGGGGGACAGATGCAGCATCGGACTGATGATGCATCTACCTCGGCAAGTACAAATGGGGGGGGGGGGGCGGCCCCTACTTCTCTTTTAAGAAAACCCGGAGCCCTATTTAATTTTGTTTGTATGTATGGCTCTGGTAACACTGATATTAAAGTGATCTGGGGAGTATTAAGAATTTTGGTGTGTGGGTGTGTGGGTGGGTTGTGGAAAGACCTGGCAACCTACCCTGTAAAATAATTGCTAAGAGAATTCATGGAAAAAGTCGCTTACGAGCAACGGTCCATGCAATTGCCAAGGGTCGTATATGACTGGATATATATAAATTTCTATCTCTAATATCCTATGTGTCCATGTACACTATTTTAGACTAATAGCATTTTTCATGTTTCAGCATTTAGGAGAAGAAAAAAAAAATAGTTTTTTGAAGCGTTTTTGTGAGCATTCAAGTGCTCCTGCTACTAAAACGCTCCTAACAGCTTTTTTTTTTTTTTTTTTTTTTTTTTTCCTTCCACATGTACTGTAAAAACGCTAACTCTCCTAAATGCTACTCTAAGCTGGCTAAAAACACTATTATTAATGTTTTTCATCCAGTTTTTTTTTTTTTTTTTTTTTTTCAGCCTATAAAAAACGCTAGTGTGCATGGAGCCTTAAAGTATTTTGTAGTCTTATTGTTATGGAACTTTCCTAATGTTGGTATATTCTATTATCTGTTTCATAGAGTCCTGCTCACTGGTGCAGAATTGCATTTGGCAACGGGTCGCCGATATGGATTGGTTGGCAGAAACGGTCTGGGTAAAACAACATTATTGAAGATGCTTGCTAGTCGTAGCCTTCGTGTTCCTTCACACATCAGCATCCTGCATGTGGAGCAGGAGGTAGCTGGTGATGATACCCCAGCACTGCAAAGTGTATTGGAGTGTGATACTTTACGTGAGAGTCTTCTATGCGAGGAGAAAGAACTGAATGCAAGGATCAGTGCTGGGAAGTAAGCTAAGTTTATGCTTGAAAAATGCAGCAGAATGTATGGTTCATGAAAATTGTCCTGTTCATTTTGTCATGTGCAATGCTAATGCTGAAATAATAATAAAACTATAATTCTTATGTGCAAACAAATTATATTTATGATGAAGCGCTCAACTTATATAAAAGTGAAAATTATCTCCATCCAAAAAGATTATAATAAATTAAATAATCATCAATCTACAAAATATCTAGTGCAAAATCCCCACACATAGATTATAAGCCCCCTGGTGGTAAATAGTAATAATCAACAAAAAACACTTAAATTGTGCAAAGTGATAAATATTATATAGGAAAAATAATTCAAAATCAATTCAAAATTATTAGTGATGCCACACTGTGCAAAATAATAAAAGTGTTCAATACACGGTGGTTATGACTTCACTCCATGCTGCAATTGTGCTCTTCGTGATACTCTTGATGTGACTCCCCTCAATAATAGCCAAAGTGCCCCCTCACCTTCCACATTCGACCCTTGCAGGTCACAAAGCTTTATATACAGTTGCAAGAAAAAATAATCGTGGAGTTTTGCATGAATTGGGCAAAAAAAACATCTAAGTCACAACAATAGAAGAAAAAGTCTGCTGAACATAATACTACACAAACAAATGTTGCCATGGTTTAATTGCACATAACATGTAAACATTCACAGTAGCAGGGAGGAAAAAGTATGTGAACCTTTGGACTTAAAACTGGTTGAATAACCTCAACCAAAAGTTGCAGATCAACCTGCAAAACGATCTAGTAATTTTGGACCACTCCTCTTCACAAAACTGTTTCAGTGTAGCAATATTCTTGGGATGTCTGGTGTGAATCACTCTCTAAGGTCATGCCACAATTTCAATCGGGTTGAGGTCAGGACTCTGACTGGGCCACTCCAAATCTGTGCTGTTGCATGCCTTTGTTTTGTTGAATGAATTATGCATCACCCATCCTCTGCGGAGCTTCAGTACAGATGGTCGTACGTTTTCCTGCAAAATGTCTTTATAAACTCTGGAATTCATTTTCCCATCAATGACAACAATCCGTCCAGGCCCTGAGACAGCAAAGCAGCCCCAAACCATGATGCTCCCTCCGCCATGTTTTACAAGGTTTTGATGTTGGTGTGCTGTGCCTTTTTTTCTCCACACATATTCCCAAACAACTCAATCTTGGTTTCATATGTCCACAGTATATTTTGCCAGTAGTGCTGTGGAACATCCAGGTGCTCTTTTGCAAACTTCAAACGTGCTGCAATATTCTTTTTGGACAGCAATGGCTTCCTCTGTGGTGTCCTCCCATTACTCCATTCTTGTTTAATGTTTTCCTTATTGTAGATGTGTCAACAAAAATGTTAGCATGTGCCAGAGATTTCTGTAGGTCTTTAGCTACTCTGGGATTCTTCTTTACCTCAAGCATTCTGCGCTGTGTTGCAGTCATACCACGCCGAGGGAGAGTAGCAACAGTGTCTCACTTGTGACAGTCTTTCTTACGTGGACACATGAGCTGCTTTTGGAGATAATTGTAACCCTTTCCAGCTATATGCTCAACAATTCTTGATCGTAGGTCTTCTGAGACTCTTTTCTGCGAGGCATGGTTCACATCAGACAGTGCTTCCCAGTAAACCCAAAACAGGTGCGTGTTTTTTAAGGGCAGGACAGCTGTCAGCAACACATCAATATCATCCTGATTGGAGTCAAGGTTGGCTCACTCCTGGCTCCAATTAGCTCTGGGAGAAGTCATTAAGCTAGGGCCTCACATACCTCCCTGCACTGTGAATGTTTACATGTTATGTGCAATTAAACCATGGCAACATCTAATGTTTGTGTAGTATTATGTTCAGCAGACTGTGTTCTTCTATTGTTGTGACTTAGATGATGTTCAGAGCACATTTTATGGTAACGTAATCCCAAGGGCTTTCACATACTTTTTCTTGCAACTGTATGTAATATATCTCTGCCAGGTTTTTGATACTCCACTGCCTCCACCGACTTAATCAAGATCCTCCTCCAAGCAATGAGTTCCTCTCAAATACCTTCCCTCACAATACGGACTCAAATACAGGGCGCATATGCAAGAAAAGAACAGACCTCCATAGTGCAACACTGTTTTAATGCACTCAAGGTTAGACAACAAAAATCGCACTCACATATCCTCCAACAGAGAGAAGCAGTTTCCCATGTGCTATGGGTATACTCAGGTGTACAAAGATGGCGTCCGGAACCGGAAGTACGTCACCCCTATGACCGGAAATACGTTGACGCGTTGCGCCACGATCACGTGGCTTCTTCAGGATCCTGAAGAAGCCACGTGATCGTGGCGCAACGCGTCAACGTATTTCCGGTCATAGGGGTGACGTACTTCCGGTTCCGGGTTTGGACGCCATCTTTGTACACCTGAGTATACCCATAGCACATGGGAAACTGCTTCTCTCTGTTGGAGGATATGTGAGTGCGATTTTTGTTGTCTAACCTTGAGTGCATTAAAACAGTGTTGCACTATGGAGGTCTGTTCTTTTCTTGCATATGCGCCCTGTATTTGAGTCCGTATTGTGAGGGAAGGTATTTGAGAGGAACTCATTGCTTGGAGGAGGATCTTGATTAAGTCGGTGGAGGCAGTGGAGTATCAAAAACCTGGCAGAGATATATTACATATATAAAGCTTTGTGACCTGCAAGGGTCGAATGTGGAAGGTGAGGGGGCACTTTGGCTATTATTGAGGGGAGTCACATCAAGAGTATCACGAAGAGCACAATTGCAGCATGGAGTGAAGTCATAACCACCGTGTATTGAACACTTTTATTATTTTGCACAGTGTGGCATCACTAATAATTTTGAATTGATTTTGAATTATTTTTCCTATATAATATTTATCACTTTGCACAATTTAAGTGTTTTTTGTTGATTATTACTATTTACCACCAGGGGGCTTATAATCTATGTGTGGGGATTTTGCACTAGATATTTTGTAGATTGATGATTATTTAATTTATTATAATCTTTTTGGATGGAGATAATTTTCACTTTTATATAAGTTGAGCGCTTCATCATAAATATAATTTGTTTGCACATATCTTGAGGTATAAAGAATAGGTGATAGCAGCTAACTTTTGGTCACTAGGTTCTGTGGAGCGCAGGGGGATTCTTTGTATATTTATATAATTCTTATGTGATGATTCACTGATGCCAAACAAGTATGTCAGAACCCCTAACCTGTTACTTGCACTAAATAAGTGGTGCTCACTGTGTTGTGCAGCCAGAGGATCAGCAAATTGGCACAAAAGTCCTTTAATGCTGTGTTTTCAGAACAGTGTTTTCTAGCATCTTTTATATTTTTCTCATGACATTTTTTTTATTCATGTTCCATGACTTACTGCCTTACTAGACCTTCTTGTAACAGGGGTTGCATTAATTATTCGTAAAGTATATCTGGATTGCCATCTTTACTCATTTAGTAACATAATAGGTTGTAATAATTTAAAAAATCATAAATAACATAATTTTCCTACATTTCATTGGGGTACAAAACAGACTTTGAGGGTTTAGCCAATAGATTGATGGGACTAAGAAGGTGATGGAGTTCAAACACTACTTTGCATCAATATCCATCATTACTAAATTAACATTGAGCTGCGCAACTATAAGTAAACTTTATTCTGGGTGACAAAAATATATTTTTACAGGTAGCTGAAAGTTTTTTAAAATTTTTTATAGCCATACTTAAAGTACTAAGCAATATGGTAGTGTGACAAGAACACCCCTACCTGAAAAAGAAGGTTACTGAATGATCCACGCGGAGTAATATGAATTCAAAAATAATTTTTAACAATACTTTATTTGATCACATAGATCATAGGGAGGTTAAACATGAGCACGGTGTACATGTGAAAAAAATAAAATCATGTTAAAAAACACTTAGCGTCTTCAATTTAGGGTCATCTTAGCAAATAGAGCACCATATAAGGCAGAGTAGTGTAATGATGAGATAGTTATCCTGGGTTTTCCGTAGGTTTCCCGCTTATATTTGAGTAAACCATGTATTCAGCAGATGTGTTCCCAATATATGTCAGGGACCTCCTGGAATGTAAAAGCTGGAACACAAAAATACATAGTATATGTATAGAAATATGAAAACCAAATCACATCCAAAATTCACCAGGTCTCCCTCCACAGTAGTCAATGGATACTTCTATTACCTTCTCAATAGTGAGACTATCATACCCGCTTCTCAAATGTAGGGACTTCCTGGATAGCCACCCCAAGTGAAACAAGGTCCACAGTACCAAATGATTCTGAGGATATATATAGAAAAAATAATAAATATATAGATCATGGGCATCAAGTGACCCCGAAAACAAAACACACACAGAATGTGGATATATTACCATCAATAAAGATCAAGAAGACTCCTGTCGACTTGAAATAGGATCAGGTCCTTGATGCTTTTTCAAAGATGCATATGGGGGTGAGGAGCCAGGTAGGCACAATGCGTAGATTTCAAAACACATATAATGTGTATATAGCATATAGCAGGCCATATATACCTGAGTTTAATATTCCCAATAAAGGGTTTCCAAAAATTGCTCAATTAGAGAAGGTTATTGCGGTTTTATAAGGATGTGGCTATGTCACAGCAAAGAATACCTGGATAGGATAGCGTGTATATATATATATATATATATGTAGATTATCCTCCAAAGAGGATTTCCAAAAAAATTCCCCGAGTATACAGGGTAAATTAGGCCCATGAAACATGCCCTATAAACACCATGCAGGCTCTATAAATCTCAACAGCCGTAAGCTTTAAATAACTTGCCACCGGTGGAAGGTATGTTTCCCTGAGGGATTGCCGTTTGCGAACCGCTGTAAATAGTAGCCCACTGGTAGTTCTCAGAGGATCTTGGGCCTTCCTAGCAGGGAGCTGTGACACCGCCGTTCCTTCCCGCCTCGTGGGCACCGCACCCAGTGAAGACGCCGAGCGTAGTGACGTCAATACGTTGATGCGTTTCGTCCGCCAATCACCGCAGACTTCGTCAGAACTGGGAGGGGACTTCAATCCTTCGCCTTATATGGTGCACTAATTGCATACCAAGGAGTCTCCACCTCGCCATCTTGTGTTGAAAGAGTATCACTACATTAGGAATATCCAAAGTGAATTAAAAACACATATTTTGAATTTTAAAATGATTGCTGGATGTAAAAGAGGAGCCTAATTGCTATAGATCAAGTCATCTTCTAAGAAGATAATAAAGAGGAGATTATTATTAGCATATTTCTTGTTCACATAGGGAAACATCAAGACAAGGTCCAGCTACCAGAATTTCAATATCAATCCTATTATTGTATATGCTCACCACCCAATAGGAATAGAGAAGATTGCATAGTTAGATTCATATTTTGTCCACAGAAGTCCATATTTAATTCATATATATGGTATCCCAATGTAAATTATAACTCAGGGTATATAAAGAGTTCAAGGGAATTCATTTCAAAAACACCCCAAAGTTGAGTTCTGTATTTAGTCCAAATGGGACAAGTGCCCCCAGGGTATAGATCCAGAATTTTTCTTTTTGTAGGAGGACTTTGTCAAAGTCACCCCGACGAGCCGAAATATTCAGCAGAAAGATCCCTTTTACTTTTAGACCATCTGTTTTGCCCCCGTGTACTTCTTAAAGTACACCTGTTCTAGGACAAATTTTTAGGTTACCATCCATGTCTTCACCTTCTTCTGAAAATGCAAACTTCCTGGCTGCTTTGCTGTTGCTTTGACTTAAATGCTTTCTGAGTCAATGACACAGAAGAGGAATAGAGGTGAAAAATAGAGTTTTGTACATGCTTGATCCAGGTTTCTAACTCAAAAGTATTAAACTAGACACAGTGAGGCAGCTAGCATTTTTAGGAGAGGAGCAGCTGCTGCCCAATTATTTCTCTGATGACAGGCATCCTTGAAAAGGGGGTTTCAATGAAAAAGTAACCCTACTTTTTGTGGGAAGAAAAAACACCCCTCCCCAGGCTGTCTGTGTACTTTGCACACATTGTAACAAACTTTTTAGCATATTATCTTTTTTTTGCTGTGAATAAAAAGCTCTGTTTAACCAGACTGAACGCATACTAATTCTGAATGTGGCTGTCTGGTTTATTACCAATCTGCTGATACAAATTTTGTTCTAATGAGGAAAGCTGAAGTGTCCTTAGAAGTAATTAACCCTTGAGGAGTATCTTAGCAAAACTTACATTTCTATTGCAGGTGCCTGAAATCTCAGTTTAGGCTGGGTTCACACTGATGCGGTGCAGAATTCACACCGTTTTTTTGTGTGAATTTCTCACCGCATCAGAATCGCACCCCGTTCATGCGAACCGTTGGAGGTGTGTATGTTAACACCCTGAAATTGGTCCACATAAAACGGTGCTATGTGCAGAATCGGATCACGTAGATGTGAATACCCATGCGATCCAATTCTAGTGCGTACCCAAAAAGGGGTCCTGCACCTTTTTGGTGCTGGTTTGGTGCAATTTGAGCCATACATAATGTATGGCTCCAATCGCACTGCACACAAATCTCATGTGATTTGCACAGGAATGCGGTGCTGTTCCTGTGCGAATCACATGCGATCTACCACACCGCATTAGTGTGAACCTAGCCTTAATGCAGACTTCTGGGAAAATCAGTGAGCCAGTCACACAAGCAGGGAAATTCAATTTTTGAAGGCATTCTGTACACAAACTGTGTACAGAACACCTTCAAGTTGCCATATTGCATTGAATTTTGCATAGAAAAGGAAAGGTAATTTTTAATAACATTAAACTAAAGTACAACATGGCTCTTGTGGCTTTATTGGCTATATTTTTTTCTACTATAGTGGCATTATCCTTTAAATCAAGAAGGTTAATTCTGGCTTTGAGACCATCTCGTTGTACTGCTATCTTCCGTGTGATTGAACCACCAACAATGCTGCAAGAGAACATCCACTGACATATAATGGAATTCCACTGTGCACTTCTATATCCGGATAGGAGATTATAGGTTCAAATATTATGCCATATATACTTCCCAGGAATTTTTTTTTTTTTTTTTTTAAACCTTTTTAGTTTGAATCCCACTAGTTTTGAAAACTCTTAGGAATTAAATGTCAGATTTGCTATGGAGATACTACACAGACATAAGTCAGATGCTCCCAGGAACCATGACTGACTGTAATTCGATTTTTTTTTTTTTAATCTCAAGATCAATTCATGAAGGTATGGTGCATGCATTATTGCTATTACAATCCTTAATTACAGCAGATAGCATTAATATTTTTGTAAACAACATATGCAAATCAAAGTGTACATTTTGTGAATAATGTTTAAAGCTGTTTTTAACTTTAAACTATTCTTGATTACCTTTTTGTTTCATGTGTATCTTCAGGGGTGATGGTTCAGAGAGTGTACGTTTATCAGAGATATACAGCAAGCTGGAAGAAATTGAAGCAGACAAAGCACCAGCCAGGTACAGTATAATATTTATGTTCCCTCTGAATATTTTATAGAGCATTTAATCTTATTGTTTTCTCTAATTTCAGAGCCTCTGTGGTTCTCGCTGGTTTGGGATTCAAACACAATATGCAGCAGCAGATGACTAAGTACGCGAATGTTTCCAACAAAATTCAGTCTTTATAATTTAATGTTGTCATTGATCTTGCATTGAAGCTTAGTCAAAAGTTTATGTTGGAGTTTTCTAGAATGTATCTGTATTAACCAGGTTATAGTCTTTCAATATTTACTTTTAGGCCCTGTTCGAAGTTCCACAGTTAGGAATTGTGGGCAGTATTGGTGTGTTTGTGCTCACAATTCCAGATCCTGGCAAAACCGTGCCAAACGCGGTGCAGATTTGGCACAGTTGTCACACAGCAAAATGCTTGTGTAAAATCGCACCTGTCTCGGGGCCAAAATGTGGTCCCTGAGCTTCGTTGGTTTGACAAATGCTCATAGGGCTGCCCTGTGCATGACGTGGAAACGCGTGTGAATCACAATTGCAAAATTGCTAGTGGGGCTAAGCAATATGTTAACGAGCACTTGCAAAGGAAAATGACTATTTCATAACCTAAATACTGTTTGTAGTTTAACACGGCAGGATTTTAAATATAGGCAATACATCCTAAAAAAAAAAAAACTTCAACAAAGTTTATAGGGCATATTGCCTATGTCCTACTCCTTACTGGCTGTCAAAATGTTGGCTAGGATTTCCTAAGTATTCCATTACTGGAGCGGCTGTCAAAATGCAAATGCTCCTGTGCAAAATGAATCCTGCAGATATTCTGCCAATCAAGAATGTTTGACGTTAGCCTTAACTACCACTTTACATTTCATGCTTCATCACTGCCAAGCTATTCTCCATATACAGCTATCAGGATCAGCCATTCCTTTGCCTGGTTTTGGGTTCCGTACTTGGAACGAACTGGACTAGACATGGCTAGCCTGGCATGTGTCCTTTGAGCACTGGAGACTGTATTGTGGTGCTTTTGAGACCTGCATGTTCTGGTAATAGATAGCTATGTGGCGCTCTCTGGGTCCAGAGCATTGCTCAAGCGTAACCCTATCTCCGAGGACTCACTTTTGCGGGCTGAGCACTGAGAGTTACCTCGTCACTAGCACAACTGGATGCTGTTTAGACTTCCCTCTTTTATTGGTCTGAATCTTCAGACGTTCGCACTGAAACCAGATGCTCCTTCCCAGTCTCTGCCCCCAGTCTCAAACTTTTCAGAGCAGGTGTTACTTGACTCTTTCTTTATTTCTGCATGGTAGTCCATTGACTGCCAGTAGACTTAATTTGAGGCTGTCCACTCTAGACCCCTACAACACAACATCCTGTCATTATGGAGCAAATCAGTCCTGTCCTTGGAGAAACCAAATTATCTGGCACAGGTTGTTCTTGGCTTGGTGGCTTAGGAATTCTGCATTACAGTCAAAGTCCTTCCTTCTGGTCTTTTGAGAAATCCTCATGAAGGATGTATGCCTGTAGGATTGGTGAAGAGGCGTTAGTCCAGTCTGGGCAACTTGTGGGGACAAGGGGACCTACAGTCAAACCACTCTGTCTAATGTTAAACATTCTGGAACTTAGGATGATTTGTTTCTCCCTGCAACATTAGACCTCCTGCCTGGAGGGTTGTCCAATCCAGATTCAGTTGGACAACGCTCAATAAATAGCATACGTCAAGCGTCATGGAAAAAGCAGAAGTCTCACCGAAGCAGGACAGGTATTGTGGATACTGTAATGTACTGTAATGGCCAGAACTTCATGTTCCAGCCCTGTCTGCCATTTACATCCCAGATGTAGAAAATTGGCAGATGGAAGGCTCCTTTAGTGAAATTAGCAGATAGTCTGGGAGCTCCACGGGGTCGGTACACACTGATGTACTTCTCTTCTTCCCTGAAACTCGTTCCACATCTGATTCTCAGGATTGTGATTGACAGTATTCCAATGATCCTAATACTTCTGAACTGGCCTAGGCGAATGTGGTATTCGAACTTGATAAGTCTTCTGTAAGATGCTCCATGAGCTCTACCAGATTATCTGGATCTTTTGTCTAGAGGACCGATTTAGCCTTATTTTTCATGTTTGCCTGCTTTAACAGCATAGTTGTTGAAGCCCAGATGGGACACATAAGTGTCTATGCGGCTTTTCCCTGTGCTGTTCCCCGTGAGTCTCTGGGATCTGAACTAAGTTCTTCCACACTTCAAAAAAATGTCATTGAATTGATCAGAGATAAAGCCCCTTTCTACTCTTTCTTGTTGCTATCACCTGTCTTCGCTAACAGGCTAATCCTGTAAAGAACCATTTCTGTAGGTAGCCCAGAACTTTATTCCTGTCTTCCTTCCTAGGATAATTTCTGCCTTCCAGCTAATCAGGACATGAAAAGGGAAACCTTTTTTTTTTTTTTTCCCATTTCTTAGTGGTTCAGACAGACTATTGTTCATGCTTATCATCTTAAGGATTGGGTTCCAACCTTTCCTGTCAAGGTGCCCTCTACTAGATCTGTGAGTGTTTCTTAGACTTTTTGGCATCTAACACCTAATGTTCACACATTCTTCAAGTCTTATCTGCTTGATGTTCATGCCTCTTCTGATGCCAGCTTAAGGTCCTCCAGGCGGCTCTTTGAGCTTCAGGCAGTCCCTAGTCCTGTTGTCTTTTGTACTTCTCTCTTAGTGCTTGTGACTGCTGCCCACCCCTCAGTTGGACTGCTTTTGGGCGACCTTGTAGTCTGAGAAATCTTGTGTCCCTCAATGGATTTTTGCACTTACTGTAAAAGCCATTTTTTGGAGTCCATTTTGGGACACCCCTTTGTGTTTATGATCATGGTCTTAGTAGTCCTTTGCCACAAAATTGAAGTATGCTGGGAGTAGGAGTGGTTATCTTAGAATGGCGCACAATTTTTGTGTTTACCAGTGTGCAGTCCTCCTGCAGGCAGGTGTTTAATCTGACAATCTGTGAATTTCTGCATTTTTAATGTACTGAAGGAAATGGATTTTACGTTTAAAGCAGAACTCCAGGCAAAAAACTTCTTTACATTTCCTTTAGTTAAACTTTTCTCCTAAAATGGTAAGGATTTTTATTAACTGTTTAGAGGGTAATTTTTTTGCCTATATCTGGGTTCTTCAAGTACAAAAATTCCTTTTGTAGTGTAATTTTAAAATTGGTGAATAAAATGTTTTCTTTTTAAAGAAAAACTTATTTTTTAAATATAAAACTGGTCACATTAGATATTTTTTCATTTGTCTTTTAGTCTATAGATGACGTAGAAAATAAAATGTATGTATTACTTTGTTATCTTAAAGTGACCGTAAACTCAAATTTGTTTACATCAATCAATCTAAAATATTAAGGATACAATGGCTCTGTTTGTATTTAAGTTTTAGCTTTTTACCCTTGTTTTTTTTTCTGCTTTGTAAACTCCTTAGCCTCCACTGATGTGCCTCACTGTACTACTAACTAGAGTGAGCAGTACTATTCGTTCTAGTCACATGGTGTGCTCTTGGTGTACTACAATCCCTTATAGAACTGACTGTGTCTTCCGATAAATGTGTAGTCCATTTTAGAAGTGAGCAGGAAGTGGTGACTTAAATGAAAGGACAGGAAGGGAGGAGGTACATTCTAGTTATGTTTAGACATACTGCATTTATTTTATTTTATAAAAAAATGTGAGTTTAGTGTCACTTTAAGAAACAACAAAATTATCACTATATAAGCATTGCCCTTAATTGAAATTTAGTTTTTTCTGGTCCATAAGGGGTATATAGCCTAAATGTGTTCGCTTTGTTTTTTTTAGTGATGTTTTGAGTGTTTAGTTATACAACAATTTCCTCAGAGAAAATTTCAATGTATCAAAATATAGTTGAGGTATCAAATATATTCATCACAATCCCATCCCCAAGAGCTTCATTACATATTAGAACTGATTATGGAAACATAAAATTAAGTAGTACAAGGATATTACATACAAGGGAGGGTGAGGGTTTATTTACTGTCATAACCATATTTAACAATATGAGGATTGTGGTTTCTTTTTAAAGAGCATTATGAAATTTTAAATGGCCTTTTTTATTTCCATCTGCAGCCAATTATGATTTTTTTTTAAAACTACCAGGAATCAAATATCTTTTTCTGGAAACCTTGGGAATAGTCCTGAGTTGCTACACCAGATGTCCCATAATTCACATCCTCCTGCTCTTGTAACAGGTTCACTGTTTTCCCCAGAAATCTGCACAGAGCTGGAGGTAAGATGAGGCACCAGTCTAGCAAATTTGCTGCATACCTAAAGGGATGCTAGGGGAAAAAAAGATTTCTTAATTGAATAGAGGGATTGGGCATATTGTTCTAGAAGGCAGAGCCTCTTACTTAACTCATTTGTAGTACATAGTCTCAATTTTTACATTATAAAAACAGATAAGGATCTGAAATAAAAATTGATCAATTGTTTAAATTATACATAAAAGATGAAGATATTGAAGGGATTTTTTTTGTATTAACAAATATAGTGTGTAACTTTAAATGTAATCAATATCTTGTCTAGTCAGTATATTTAAAGGCATTTCCTCTAATGGAGAGCCTATCTGCTCATCACTCTGTGATGACTGCAACTGGTTGTCAAAATTTTATGTGGGTTTGAATTTTGTTGATGCTGATTAATCAGGATTGTTGAAATGAGAATAAGGGTTGGGAACATCTGTTACAGAAAGTATTTCTCGACATTGCTCTTGTGACAAAACAACATTTTGTGTCATTTTCGTCGCTGCTCAAACTCCCTCCAACACCGTTCCCCCTCACTCAGCTACCCCCTCATCACCCCTCTCCCATGGCCCCACCACTGCTCTGACCTCTACTTCCACCCCACCCTTCATTCCTCATACTGAAGCCCCCCCAACACTTCACACCTTTTGACCTTACTACCATCGAGGAAGTCTCCAAGATACTCTATGATGCCCGCCTCATCACCTGCCCCCTCGACCCTATCCCCTCACAACTCCTTCAACCTCCCTCCCCCTCCATCCTATGCTCCCTCACCCACATCTTTAATCTCTCCCTCTCCTCCGGCACTTTCCCCTCCTGTCTGAAACATGTAACATCACCCCCATACTTAAAAAGCCCTCCCTGGACCCTAATGACCCAAACAACCTCAGACCCATCTCCCTGCTCCCATTTACATCCAAACTCCTCGAGCGCCTAGTCTACACCCGCCTATGCTCTCACCTCAACGACAACAACCTCCTCGACCCCCTACAGTCCGGCTTCCGTCCCCTACACTCCGGCTTCCGTCCCCTACACTCCGGCTTCCGTCCCCTACACTCCGGCTTCCGTCCCCTACACTCCGGCTTCCGTCCCCTACACTCCGGCTTCCGTCCCCTACACTCCGGCTTCCGTCCCCTACACTCCGGCTTCCGTCCCCTACACTCCGGCTTCCGTCCCCTACACTCCGGCTTCCGTCCCCTACACTCCGGCTTCCGTCCCCTACACTCCGGCTTCCGTCCCCTACACTCCGGCTTCCGTCCCCTACACTCCGGCTTCCGTCCCCTACACTCCGGCTTCCGTCCCCTACACTCCGGCTTCCGTCCCCTACACTCCACCGAAACTGCCTTACTGAAACTCTCCAACGACCTGCTAACCGCCAAAGCTAATGGCCACTATTCAGTGCTCCTACTCATTGACCTCTCTGCGGCCTTCGACACAGTTGACCACCCCCTCCTCCTTAAAAAACTACACTCCCTCTGCCTCAGAGTTTCTGCTCTCTCCTGGCTCTCATCCTACCTGTCACAACGCTCTTTCAGCGTAACCTATAATGCTACCACCTCCCCCTCACTCCCCCTCTCTGTTGGGGTCCCTCAAGGCTTCGTCCTCGGGCCCCTTCTCTTCTCCATCTACACCTCCTCCCTTGGCCAACTCATACACTCTCACGGCTTCAACTACCACCTATATGCCGACGACACACAAATCTATCTCTCAACCCCCCCACCTCACCCCCTCAGTCTCTGCCCGAATCACACACCTACTGAGCGACATATCTGACTGGATGTCGCTCCACTTCCTTAAACTGAACCTCTCCAAGACCGAGTTTCTTGTCTTCCCCCCAGCCTGGACACCACCCCCCATTGATTTCTCCATCATGTCCAACAACGCCACCATCAAACCCGCCCCACAGGCCAGAGTACTTGGTGTCATTCTGGACTCCAACCTATCCTTCCAGCCCCAAGTCCAATCTTTAACAAACTCGTGCAGACTCCACCTCCGCAACATCGCCAAAATACGCACGTTCCTTACCCCAGAAACCACTAAAGAGCTCATCCACTCCCTCATCATATCACTACTCGATTACTGCAACTCCCTCCTTACTGGCCTGCCTCGCCTCTGGGTATCCCCGCTTCAGTCGATCCTGAATACGGCAGCCAGACTCATTAACCTTTCCAACTGCTCCATCTCTGCCACCCCCCTCTGCCAATCCCTCCACTGGCTTCCGATTGCGCAACGGATCAAATTCAAAATCCTAACACTGACGTACAAAGCCGTCCACCACACTGCCCCGAACTACATCACTGACCTAATATCCAAGTACCACCCAGCACGCACACTCTGCTCCTCACAAGACCACCTCCTCTCTAGTTCCCTGGTCTCCTCCTCCCATGCCCACCTCCAGGACTTCTCCAGGGTGTCACCCATCCTCTGGAACTCCCTGCCCCAACCCATCAGATTATCACCTACTCTCCTCTCGGCGCACCCTGAAAACCCATCTCTTCAGGGAAGCCTACCCCACCCACTGCTAACTTGTCGACCTCCTCCACTCTTCCTACCACTCCATCCCCCACAGCTATCTCCTCTTGTGCCACCATCCCCTCCCTCCTAGATTGTAAGCTCGAAAGAGCAGGGCCCTCAATCCCCTCATGTTCTCCATTGTATTGTTATTATTCTGTCACATGTTCTGTCCCCCTTTGTAATGTACAGCGCTGAGCGAACTATCGGCGCTTTATAAATACTGTATAATAATAATAATTTTGTGGGAGGCTTTATGTATGTTTCATATGTTTTTGCTTTCAGGGAGTTTTCTGGTGGGTGGCGTATGAGGTTGGCATTGGCTCGTGCCCTTTTTGCAAGGTAAGTGTTTATTATACTTTTAAAATATTTAGGAGTAGTGATGATTAAACATATATATATATATATATATATATATATATATATATATATTTATATATAGACATACAGAATACTAACATTGTATCTTTTATTTTATCAGACCAGATCTGCTACTACTTGATGGTAAGTATTCTCATGTGCAGGCACAAAACCAGTGTGTTTTTTGGGTGGTTAGAGGAAGTTCCCTGAGGATATCCATATTAATATACATAGAACATACACCATCCAGAGTAACCTTAGGTAGGTAATGAGTTCAGGAACCAGTTCATATTGCTAACTGATAAGCCACTACACACCCCCTCCCCACCTTCTTTCTTAGTCTTATCTTTTTCATGAACTAAACTTTTTTTTTTTTTTTTTTTCTTTTCATTTGTACAGAGCCTACAAACATGTTGGATGTGAGAGCCATTTTGTGGTTGGAGAACTACTTGCAGGTCTGTATAGTAATGGTTTCATGCCTGGCTTTTAGAGATTACCTTTGCATTTCTGTAATGTAACATCTTGAACTATTTTACAGACCTGGCCCTCAACCATCTTAGTTGTTTCCCACGACCGTAACTTCCTGAATGCAGTGGCCACAGACATTGTGCATCTACATAGCCAGCGGTTGGAGGGGTACCGAGGCAACTTTGAGAGTTTTCTAAAAACTAAGGAGGAGCGTTTGAAGAACCAGCAGAGAGAGTATGAGGCACAACATCAATATCGTGAACACATACAGGTAATGCTGGGCACCTTATATTTGAAGTTATGGTAGGTATGCTGAGTTAAAGTGGAACTAAAGTCTCTAAAGAACTGCAAGCAGACAGGCTTTTTATTGCAGAAGAAACATGCAATGTTTCGCAGTCTTCCTTGGAATGTACAAGTTTACATTCTGGTACAGAACCTTTGTGTCAGGATGACTGAACTCCTTCACATGCGAAGGAGTGATGTCACCATGGATCAGCCAATAAAGATGGCCCCAGCCCAAGAAACTGGGTAGACAATGTTGGCAAGGGACCTTGGACCGTTAAAGGTGAGGTAAATGTTGCAGACATTAGTTCCTGCTTTTCTACTTGTATCATATGTCTTTTAGATATTTTGAAAGTTGGATGACTTTGCTTATATCCCCATTGCATACTTATTCTGGGTATTATAACAGTGTTTAATAAGTCTTAATACTTTTTTTTATATATTTTGGAGAATGTGTTCTGGAGAGTGGCTGTAGAGCCAGGAACCATTGACTGACTGATAAATATTGCTGATGGAGTCTCAAAGAGATATAAGAAGCCACTGGGAGGACTCCTGAAATACCCCTGGATAGTTAATTTTAAGGGGTATTTCCACTTCTGCAGTCAAAACTTTAGATAACCCCACTGTATGTTTGCTATGTGTTCCCATTCGCACAGCATACCAAAAAAAAAAAAAAGGGAAAGACATTTCTTGCCATTTTAGATGTTTCTAAGGAGAAGGTGTTATGGCTTCTAGGGATTCTAAGAATTTTTGGACAGTCTTAAGCATTCTATGGATTATGCAATAGAAATTGTTCAAATCTCCTATTAACACACAGCTGTTGATGGGGGTAATCCCTTCCCTGCCAGCAGAACACAATGATCACAGCTGGGATCACAGCTGGCAGCAAACACATGAAAAAAATCCAACAGGCTGGTTCTACTGAAGTCGATCGATGAATTGACATCCGTACAACCAGCCTTCCCAAAGATGGATCGAATTTTGGCCCGTTGCTGCTAAACCAGCTGAGATTTTATTGATCTATGGTTGGCTTTGCAGTATCTTGTTCCCACACAGAGTGAGCTATGCCTCATTAACATGCATTGCAGGAGGGTTGTCTCCTAGATTTTTAACCTATTTGTAAGGACAGACTGTTCAAATCTAGTTTACAGCTACTAATAGAACAGCTGCAAACAGTGTAGACAGAGGTAATTATGTTAAACATTACTCCACAGCCACCTTCTAAACATCAGGAAGCAGGGAGAGCATGTAAGGACTTTTTACGTAAATAAAAAAGCACTTAAAAAGCATGAGTTATGCTATGGTAATGGGAACATGTAACAAATATATAAAGTAGGTGTTATACCAATATGGTGACAAAAGTGAAAATACACTTTAATTAATCATAAAACAGATTTCAATACTTGAGGTGAGTGACTCACTCAGCTCCAGAATCTATTGGATCAGCAGGGGAGCCAGCAACTATCATTTCCAGAGGGTGGTCAGCATTGGGAGCTTACATATCTTTGTCACCAAAGGATTCCTTTACAAGGCATTTGACTGCTATCAAATTGTTTCAGGTCTTTATTGATCGATTTCGATACAATGCTAACCGGGCTTCTCAGGTGCAGAGTAAGCTGAAGCTGTTGGAGAAACTGTAAGTTTTCTAATATAACTTGATGGGAGTTATTTAACGCAAAGATGGTGTCGAGATAACTTTTTTTTTTTTTTTTTTCTTCTAATTAAGGCCAGAACTCAAACCTGTAGAAAAGGATACTGAAGTGATATTAAGGTAAGGTGGTTGAAATAAAAGCACGTTTTTAGCAAACGGTACTGAATGCAATAATGATTTCTGCTATTTCCTTCTTTATGATCCCTGAAGGTTTCCTGATGGCTTTGAAAAATTTTCTCCTCCAATTCTACAGTTGGATGAGGTTGATTTCTGGTATTCTTCAGATCAACCAATCTTTAAGAAACTTTCAGTATCTGCAGACCTGGATTCACGAATCTGTGTGGTAGGTTCTAATATAGTATGTCTACACTACAGAATTTTTTAAATGTGGCCAAAAATCTGTGTTTTTCTTTACATGTTCTAGGTAGGAGAGAATGGAGCAGGAAAATCCACAATGCTAAAGCTATTGATGGGTGAGCTGTCTCCTGTGCTGGGGATTCGACATGCACACAGGTGAGCTGTGTTTATAACATTCATATCTCTGACCACTGGAACAGCAATGTCCAAACATCCTAATTTAGAACTAAATGTTCAAACTACCCGTGACTCTACTACCTTGCAGCACAAATACAACACCTGGTGGGCTGCATGGCAGTTATACAGAACCACAACTCCCCAAATCTTAGTCCTTCAGTAAACCCTATAAACATTTCCTACATATAAATTGATGCTAAAGATTTGGTTTTAGACCAAGTACTTGCAGTGAGTAATGGGTTTTACCAAATATAATGTAATTTGGCATAATGCTTCCTATAATGAGCTGGTTAAACTGAAACCAGGTGCCCGATGGAAGAACTTTGGAGTCACCCACTTGTATCACATTTTCATAGGCCGGGTGTTGCTATTCTTCTCTGAGTTGCAAATTATGTTTGCTTTACGTGGATATATGTATTATTATTATGTACAATTGCGACATGCCAACTTGATTTCCACTGCAGAGGTGGTGCCTGTGTGACTGAATTTGCCAATTTATTTGTGGTGTTGCAAGGTACAGTATCAAAGGTTATGACGGCATATACAGTTTCCAGGAAAACGTTGTCTGATAAACATAGGCACAGTTGTCATGGCCAAGTGACTAAAAGGACATTGTGCAGGATTGTGACCTGGAATAGGAAAAACAACTGCTGCAAAAGTGACTGAAGAGCTCAATCTCAGTCTTCATGGGACGCAGGCCTACAGTCACTTTTGCAGGAGTTGTTTTCTTACTCTGGGTCACAATCCTGCACAATGTTCTTTTGTCTCTTTCGGTCAGTTGTCCACACTTATGCTTATCAGACCATGTTTTCCTGGAAACTGTATATGCTATCATAACCTTTTGATACTGTGCCTTGTGATACCACAAAAAATTTGGCAACTCCAGTCACAGAGGAACCAGCTAAGTAGGCACCAACAATTTTCCCACTTTGAAGCTCAGTAAGCTCTGACATGACTTCGTATTGCTAGCGGCTCAAGCAGTGAATGATGAAAGTGCATTTTTGCATTGGATGTTTACCCACACAAATCTCCTGTACCTTTTTTGTTTAATTGTTTTCAAAAAACCTTGTTTGATATTAAAAAAAAATAAAAAAGTTCAAACTAATACAAAGTTCACTTTGTGTTGTAGCTCACTGTAAGCGATGATAGTGATAATGGATGCTGCTGTCTGGTATCCATTATAAAGCACAAAAGTATTCTATACCATGGCTTGCATTTTATGACCTGTTCATAAAATGCAGGCTGTGGTGTGGAACCTGCAGTGTGTCTAAAAAACCCTAATGAGTGTGTCAGAGCTCTCTGCCTAAAGCTGAACTTCAGGGAGAGTAAAAATCCTCCCTTAGAGTGGGGCTTTGCCCATATTGCAAGAGTAAAATACTAGTTCTGCTTCCACAGGCTTCTCTACACTACTAGACCAGTCCTGGCAGTCTCCTCCCCTCTTCATTCTGGTGGTCGAATGGCCCCTGATGTCATCAATATCAAAGCAGGTTCATAGCCCTGCATTGGCTGTGAGGACACCAAGGATCAGTCCACCACTGGAACATAGGGGAGTGCTGCCTGCTGGGGTAGTGGAGAATCAGGTAAGTAAAAGTGCTTTTCCCATCCCCTAGACGTAAATGAGCAGCTGCCTGCTGCAGTGTGGGCACAGGACCAATGCAAGGGAGAATTTTTACTTTTACCAGGGTGGGGCTTTTAACACTGCAGAGGGAACTCCGTGATTGGATTAGAGGCCAGTCTTATGACTTTGACAGGTTATGAGGCTGGGTTCTACTACTGTTTTGTTTTTTTTTTTTTTTTTTTTTCTTCTTCATTTTCTCACTCTGCAATGTACTTCTAAATACAAATGTTTTTTTTTTTTATGTATCACTGGTTTTTGAATTGGACCCTAAGCCCCCGGTCACATCGGGTGCGACTTGGCATGCGATTTGCATGCCCTACGACTTGCAAATCGTATGCCAAGTCGCACCATATTGTTCGCTATTAGAGCGGTCATTTTGGTGCAGTTCCAACTTGGTTGGAGCCGCACTGATTTCTAAAGTAGTGCATGCATCCCTTTTGTTGCGATTTGCATAGACATCTGTGCCACTGTAAGTCACACAATTTCAAAATTGGCTTTGATGTGACCAGGGGGTAAAACACACATCTTGCAATTGCAATACTTCGGATGAATATGCACTGCCACATTGTCTCCTGTTTCTGATGACTCTTTGCTTTACTGTGTTCAGGAATTTGAAGATTGGTTACTTCAGTCAGCATCATGTGGATCAGCTGGATCTTAACATTAGTGCAGTGGAGCTTCTAGCAAAACGGTTTCCAGGTAATCTTTATATACAGGTGACCTAATATTTTTTTCTACTTCATAAATTATGATTGCTGGACTGAAAGATGGTCTAGTTGTAATTTGATTTATAAACCTCTGTTCTGTGAAGATTTAAAGATTGAGCCTGTTGTTTAAGTGGCTAATGGTGTGCTGCAGCAAATGACTACTGCGTCATATCCCTGGGGCAGACGAGTGTGATCCGTCTGCTGCATTTTACAGCATGCCACCACCTGCTCTGAAGCTGCTTTCACATATTGTTCCTGCATTTTTGTTTTTCGTCTGATGCATTTTCAACTGAATTATACGGAAACTTATGTCACTTTGTGTTTTAATGTGCATTGAAAGCTACTTTTACATAGCACGTCAACACATAAATATTCAGTTTGACATACAATTTGAGCTTACACTGTTCATCAACATTTTTTTATCGAGTTTGGAAAATCTGTAAAATGCATCCGTGAATTCAGCCTTTGGAAAATGATCCAAGAACCTGCAATTTAAATGTTTTCTTTAGAAACATCAAAAGTTAATTGCATTTAAACATTGTACCACATTTGTGTTTAGTTTCATTGTGTCTTTATGTAAATGCTTGTCATATCTAATCAAATGTAGGTAAAACAGAAGAGGAATACCGCCACCAGCTTGGAAGCTATGGGATCTCCGGTGAACTTGCAGTACGGCCAGTGGCCAGTCTGTCTGGAGGCCAAAAAAGTCGTGTTGCCTTTGCCCAAATGACCATGCCTTGGTGAGATCTTATTGTGTTTCTAGTAATTCCAGTGTAACTTTTTATTTTTATTTTTTTTCACATGTCCTATGCATTATTATTATTTCAGCCCAAACTTTTACATTCTTGATGAGCCAACGAATCACCTGGATATGGAGACTATAGAAGCTTTGGGTCGAGCGCTGAACAAATTCCGGGTATCCTTTGGCAATTTTTGCCCTTTCTACTCCCAAATTGATGCTTTCTGCAAGAATGTTAAAATTATGTGTTTAGCAAATGTCTAATTCTGTGGCTTAGCTGAAAGGATATGCTAATATTCCCATTTAAAGCGGAATTTTAGTCACCATTGAAAATTTCACCCAATTTGACAGCTTACCTCATTACATAGTGACCTTTACAGTCCCTTTCCCTGTAAAGGTTTCAAAGAAGGAGGATATAGAGTTGTCAAATTTTAAAACAATTGCTGTGTACTGTGTATGTGCAGTTTTTGAAGCAGTCTCCGCATAGCAGAGATGCAATGTGCACCCTACTCGTGTGAGCAAGCCTTATATGTTAAAATTAGCTATCACTCTTTAAAGTGGTTGTAAAGGCTCAAGATTTTTTACCTTCATGCATTCTACCTTCTCTGTGCAGCATCCCCCACCAATACTAACCTAAGCCCCCCCCCCCCATACTAACCTAAGCCCCCCCCCCCCATACTCCCCTAAGCCCCCTCTCGATCCTGCTATGAGCACTGGAGTCTCGGGACTCCCTCTCCTCATTGGCTGATTGGCTCCCGCTGCTGTAAGTCACAGCCAGTGAGCCAATTAGGAGAGGGGGCAGGGCCTAGCCGTGGCTCTGTGCATAAATGGACACACAGTGCAGCGGCTGGGGAGTGCACATGCTTGGGTGCCCTCATAGCAAGTTGCTTGCTGTGAGGGCACCCGACGGGAAGAGGAGGATCCGGGCTGCTCTGTGCAAATATATTGCACACAGCAGGCAAGTATAGACATGTTGTTTTTTTTTTTTGTTTTTTTTAAGCCTTTAGAATCACTTTAAGGTATGGTGACCTCATTGCCTCTTAGTTTTGCAGCGGTACCATGGTGGTAGAATTAAATTATAACTTCTGAAGCAGAACACTGATTTTACACTGGTTGTTATTTCTGGAATAAAGGAAGCAACTCTGCTATAATTAGCAAGTATATTGAGAAAATTAATATCAGTACTGATGACTACTGGCTCTAATTAGATTTTTTTTTTTTTTTTTAAAGGCCACAGTTTAGTTTTTAGGATAAGCTAGTCCTTTTTTTCTCATGCACCATGAGCAATTCTTACCAGATCAAGGAATGAGGCAACTATTCCATGTATAATTTCAATGAGTAAACTCGTTGCTATAGTCAACAGACATACATTTTCTCAAGTTCATAGAAGGACACAGCCAGATCCTTTATGACGTATGGGTTTGAATTCACCACCTGCAGGACCAGGATGCTAGGTGCAACCTAAACTGAAACGGGACCTTGAGCTGGCCCCCTGCTGGTGGCCAAACCCCCCATTTGCAACACATAGCTCAGTTTTATGCCTAGTGGTTAGGTGCTAGGACCTAGGATTTTTTCTGCCTTTGTTTTGCTCCTGTAGATGGATTTTTTTTTTTTTTCGTCTATCTGAATGGATTCTTGTTTCTGTTGATGGATTTTGTCTTCGGTCAACTGTGGTGCTGGGTGACAGGCCAGATATACAGTATATAGATTTGGGTAGTCCTCCCAGCAGTGCCACAAAGCACATGCAGTTCTCCGCTATGGTAGGATCCGATGTGATGATTCTGCTGTTGCAGTGTGGCCCAACCCCTCTGCGGACGTGCATGATGTTCAGACCTGGTGGGGCCTGTCCTGAGGGCATGTTTTAGTTGCACCTAGCATCCTACTGCAGGTGGTGTCAATCTCATCTCTCATGAAGATCTGGCTATGTCCTTCAATGAAAGGATTTTACGGTCTGTACAAAAATCCCACTTTTTAATCAATAACTTGTCATACTGGCCTGGCATCGTTGGACAATTCTATGCTCTGTAAATAATTTGAGAGGGCATTCCACAAAAAACTTCATTTTGGTTAGGTGTTAGTGGGTTAAGTAATCCAATTGGAAATGGTGTGTGATCAATTGCACTAGTGTTCTATAATGAAAATAACTATAATATATGTTTCAGGTGAAATAGTAACTTGGAAAACTATATAAACTACAATTGCTTTTTTTAATCATTTATTTTTATTTTTTTTTTAAGGGAGGAGTAATCCTGGTATCCCACGATGAACGCTTCATCCGTTTAGTTTGTCAAGAGCTGTGGGTCTGTGAAAATGGAGGTGTAACTCGAATTGAGGGTGGTTTTGATGAGTACCGGGACATCTTGCAGGAACAATTCCAAAAAGAGGGCTATCTATAAATCAAGTTGTACAAGAGTGAGTCACTGCTCTTCTTGATGTCTTCAGCTTTGCGGGATTTCTTTGCATACTGTCACATACCTCTGTATGCGATGTTCCTGACCCTCAGTGAAGTCAGCATTTTTGCCATGAATATGTTGTGGGAGCCTGTAGCTAAGACTGGTATATGTAAGATCCAAGGGAAGGTATTTATTATGAAAACAGCTGAAGCCAAGCAGAGATAAATGTGAAATAATGCTGCACATTATCATTAAATTTAATGAAAACCATTGTCCCACATATTTTTGTTTTAACTTGTTCTTATTATTCCATTGTAATACTGCTATCCTTCTAACACTGACAGACAGGGTTCAAACTAATCCAAGTGTAATAGAGAAATCCTGGAGGTCTTGTTGACAAAAATAGTGGTAAGCAAGGTACTTCTATGCAAATATGTGGTGAAATCTTGGGGGCAGCTGCATTGAGTTATCATACCCTGATACAGTATTAATGATTATTCTTATTTTTAACTAACTGCCTGCCTATCTAGCGCGATCTATATCTCTCTGACAACATTTGCTATTGAAACCTTCATATTTTGTTCAGTGATGTCTAGTCACAACTATACAATGTACAAATAAATTTTAGGAGTAAAATAATACATACATAATTGAACAGAAGGATGAGGTTTAAATGATTAACAAATTAAATATATTTGTATAGAATAATGGAGCATTACATCCATCCATGTGTGGATGTCAAGAGGTGTGGTGGTGTAAAATTTTTCTAGCATAATTCAATCTATCTAGACCTCTGCCATATTATGAGAAGTAGATTTTATTACCTTACTGACCCCTTCAAATCCCCCTCCCCACCATTTCCCTACCTCCTTATTATGCCTCTACACTTTTTTTCGCCCATCAGCAAATCGGTGAAATTACGTTTGGTTGCACAACATCACTTCTTGAAATTGGTAGTACTTGTACCATCATGGAATTTAAAAAATGCTGTGTATTGCAACCCTGTCAATTGAGCTCTCCAAGTTGGGCTGTAGTTCTTTTATTCAAATTTTGTCAAACTTTAATTAAAAAAAACAACTTTTGAACAGACAAATAATTTTATTAGTAAACCATTTAGGTTGCTAAAAATCAATATAGAAATATACTGCGCATATTATAATGGAATAATACTTTAAAGATGAATAACATAAAATCAATTGTCTTCTGAAAAATTGGCCTTTATTTCTGCTTACCACAGGTCCAATTTATAAATTATAGGTTTCCATTATTTATTTTATAAATAGTTCAACTGTAATGCTAATTAACTAATACTGCCAGCATATTGTTCTTTTTTTTATAGTGCAAAGCTTTGATTAGTGATTTATGTATATTTAACATTATGATGTCTTGGTTCTGTGCAGGAATCTGTGTTTTTTCTTATCTCACAATGTAAATCAGAAACGGACCTTTTTACTATTGTACAAAATAAGTAGTGGAAACATATGTCTGTGATTTAACTGCTTGCTATACTTGGTAGAGTGCTTAACAGATGAAGGTCTCCAGCTAAGGGCTATGCTTCTCTGACCAATAACGCTTAGAGGCCAAGTCTTTATCTTAGGTGTTCAATAAGCCTGCCAGTGTTCTCAAGCATCCACACTGTATGAATATATGGCCTACAGAGATTATCATCCTCATCTGCTGAATGACTTGGGTCTCTCTCAAAAGCAGTAGGGCTGATGTTGGTCCTCAGTGAATAACAATGTGCAGTCGACATCATGCTCAGAATGAATAAATATCTCTTGCTTCCTAAGTTATTAAAGGTGTCAGATGTGTAAATAAAGAGCAAATCTCCCTAATTTTGTTGTTGGGTTGTCTTTTCAATTGTCTGTTGTAGAACTTTAATAATCTACTTCTATAAAGCAGGGCTTCATTTGAAATAACAGCGTCACAAAAATTTCTGTTTTACTCACTACACAGACATTTCTCCACTGATGCTTACTTAGTGGATGTGTATTTTAACATGTCTGAATATTAAGTAAAGGACTGGGGTATAAATGTGCTGTTACCCAAAGTACCCCATGCAAACTGTAATTTAGACATGAACAGACAAATTTCAGTATGTGAAACCTAAAGGGCCATAGATTTTTACACAACATTTTAAGTAAATTTGTGGCAAAGGCACATAGCACCATTAGTTAAATTGTGTCCACAACTTCTGATCACTGAGTATCTCCTGCAATTTCTCAAATTAATTACTGTGAATTTTGGGGGTGTGGTTTGGCCATGTGCGGGACCAGATGTGCTAACCGAGAGCTCCTGCCCACACAGGGCCTTTTACCGTTGTACTAAGTGAGGGGATCACTAATCCGACCTGTCAACATGCCAGGGAAACAGCGGGCGACATTCATGTCAGCCCGGTCCCAGCAGACCCGCATTGGAGCCCTAAATTCCTATTTCCCCAGCAGCTTGGGAGTGCACACCGGAGGATCCAAGATGGCACTGGTCCACGCTGTGTCTCCACCCGTTTCGGCCGCTGCTGCTTCTGATCCTGGAGATAACGCCAGCCCTCAACAGGTACGGAGCACCAGTCCAGCCTTCTATTATGCTTCCACACAACAGTCTATGGCAGGCTCAGTGTTCGAGGATCTTACAGGAGAATGGGACATTCTAGAACATATCAGTGCATTGCCTACTAAGGCTGACATGGTGCAGTTGATCTCTACAGTTTTTCAAGCAAGCCATAGCTAAGGTGCAGGCCGAGACCACTGCTATAGGTAATCGGGTAGAGACACTGGAAACAACTCGAGGACCTCTCACACTGTGGATAGATTGGGGATGCTTCCTGTAAACATGATGACATGAGTCCCTACTTCTGCAACTAGAGAACTATGAAAACCGGGAGAGGCAGCAAAATATATGCATCCAGGGCCTGCCGGAGGCCACTCAAGCCCCAGACCTAGTCCCCACTCTCCAGGGGATCTTCGCATTATTTTGGGAGACGCCACAGTGGCCCCTGTGGAGATTGACCAGGCATATAAAGCCCTATTGCCGCCTCCCCAAGATGCCAATAAACCTCAGGACATTATCTGCAAAATCCATAAATACCCTGTTAAGGAGGCCATCATGTCTGTAATGCGAGGGAGTTAATTTGTTGACTTTGATGGAGCACGCTTACTCCTTTTTTCTGATCTGTCCCAATGCACACTCATGATGAGACAAGCTCTTGGCCCAGTGTTGGCAGTCCTCTGTCAGGAAGGGGCGACTTACTGCTGGGGCTTCACTTTTTGCCTTACTGCAAGAAAGAATGGAAAATCCACAACAAAGATGGACCTACCTACATTCCTAGAAACACTGGACTTTCCTCAGTTAGATTTCCAGGACTGGTTTCCCCACCCCCACGACCCAAAGAACACTGGCAGCCTGTTCCCCAGCACTCTTGTCGTCGTCAACGCCAGCAGAGAGGTGCGCCCTCGGCCCCCTCAAGACAGGAACCTTCCTAACTCCCCAGAGAGGACTAGTTGATGCAGCTAGTTGGCAGGAACTCCCCTGCATTGTTTGGTTATACACATTCTCTACCAGTTTTGAGGTTTGATGGGGAGTTTCCTGAGAGGATTCGTTTTATATTGCTATCTCTTTGCTTTTGTTCGCCTCATGTATATAATTTGCTACTGGCCCCCTGGGTAGGGTTGCCTTCTCGTGTATGGCTAGCCGCTTCCCCCAAGTAGGCCAATCTCCATACTTTGGAGATCACACTGTAATTTACAGATTGGGGGGGGGGGTCTGGGCGCCCCTCTCTCACAGACTGTGCCCAAACCCTCCTCCTATATGGTTCATTCTGGGTAAACCCCTGGAGTGGATTACTCTTTTCTCTCTTATGGTTAGAATCTATTTTATTTTTTTGTTTTTGTTTGATCATGGGTATACCTGGATTTATTGGATTTTACATAAGGTCTATGTTGATACTGGTTGGTGTGTCTCTCCCCGAGCTGGATCTACTGGGGTATATACTCTCAGATCTCTGACTTAATGGCAGGATGGCGTCTAAATTGACAGTTCTTTCCTATAATGTCCGTGGCATGTGCTCCCCATCTAAGAGGGACAAACTATGGCAGGAACTCCATCGTATAAAACCCTTTTGTGGTACTACTTTAGGAGACCCACTTTACGGCGACCTCCACACACCACCTTCCACAGTCTGTTTTCAATGGTTTCTGTGTCCTCCGATTCCTAAAGCAAGGGGTGTAGCGATAGCCATTCAAAAGTCTTGTTGAGTGTGTTTTAGACCAGTCAGGTAGATACATATTTATTAAGGGCACTATGTGTAATGAGATGTATACAGTCAGTCATAAAGGTCGACCATTCTAACATTTTTGGCTCTATACACCACCACAATGGATTTAAAATGAAACGAACAAGATGTGCTTTAACTGCAGACTGTCAGCTTTAATTTGAGGGTATTTACATCCAAATCAGGTGAATGGTGTAGGAATTACAACAGTTTGCATATGTGCCGCCCACTTGTTAAGGGACCAAAAGTAATGGGACAATTGGCTTCTCAGCTGTTCCATGGTCAGGTGTGTGTTATTCCCTCATTATCCCAATTACAATGAGCAGATAAAAAGTCCAGAGTTCATTTCAAGTGTGCTATTTGCATTTGGAATCTGTTGCTGTCAACTCTCAAGATGAGATCCAAAGAGCTGTCACTATCAGTGAAGCAAGCCATCGTTAGGCTGAAAAAAAACAAAACAAACCCATCAGAGAGATAGCAAAAACATTAGGCGTGGCCAAAACAACTGTTTGGAACATTCTTAAAAAGAAGAAACGTACCGGTGAGCTCAGCAACACCAAAAGACCCAGAAGACCACGGAAAACAACTGTGGTGGATGACCAAAGAATTCTTTCCCTGGTGAAGAAAACACCCTTCACAACAGTTGGCCAGATCAAGAACAATCTCCAGGAGGTAGGTGTATGTGTGTCAAAGTCAACAATCAAGAGAAGACTTCACCAGAGTGAATACAGAGGGT